TCCAGCTTAGGCCACAGAGTAAGAATCTGCCTCGAAAAAAACAAATAAATAAATAAATAAAAATAAAATCCAACTTCACTGGCTATCAAAGAAATCCAAAATAAAACAGCAGGGGGATACCTTTAGTTAAAAATAAAAGTTCTGGTACTACTCAGGGTTGGCCATGATGTAGTATGAGGGACGTACATGTATGAAAACAGCTGGTGGAGAGTGTAAATTGGATTAACTTCCAGAAAGCAATTTGGCAATCTGTGTTAAGAGCCTTTAAAATGTTTATACCTTTTGATTCAGTAATTCCACTTCTGGGAATCTATCCTATGAAAATAATCTGCAGTGCAGGCAAAGGTTTATGCTCAAAGATATTCTTCAAAGTGTTATTATAAACAGACTAGCAGCCCAATCATTGAATAATGTTTAAATAAATGATGGGACATATCACACAATATTGTAGCCATTAAAAAGGATTTTTATGGGAAAATGTTAAAGCCTCTGGAAAAGCTTGTGATACAACCTAAATTATTTTAAGGCCTATATATATGACACAACTATACATACTTATAAAGCATGGACAGAAGAAACTAAACCAAAGAGAAATCTACCAAGATGTTAAAAATGGTGGCCTCAGGGTGGTGGGATTCTGGGCATTTTCTGTGTTTCTTTTGACCCTGCTTTTGAACTTTAGACAATTGGATTCTGTTTTAGAATGAAGGAAAGTAAAAGAAGCCGTAAGACCTCTTTGAGGAATGACAGGTGATCGGTGTGTGAAACACTTACACACACTGGGACATAGGTGTGGATGAAACAGTCTAGATTTGTCCAAGAGGTTGAGGGAGACCTCACAGATATTTTTTTTCTTTTTTCTTTTTTTTTTTTTTTTTGAGATGGAGTCTCACTCTTGTCTCCTAGGCTGGAATGCAATGGCGTGATCTGCAACCTCCACCTCCCAGGTTCAAGCAGTTCTCTTGCCTCAGCCTCCCAAGTAGCTGGGACTACAGGCGCCTGCCACCACACCTGGCTAATATTTTGTATTTTTAGTAGAGAGATGGGGTTTCACCATGTTAGCCAGGATGGTCTTGATCACCAGATCTCATAATCTGCCCACGTCGGCCCCCAAAGTGCTGGGATTACAGGCGTGAGCCACCGCGCCCGGCCGATTTTTAAGTTCGCTTATGTTTTCTGTGGCAGGGCTGGGAGTGAGGGTAATAAGGTCTTAACTATATTTAATGGTCTCCTGTGATAAGGCATAAGAAAAAGTGATTTGGAAACAAAATCACCAAGCAAATGTGAGAACTTTTCTTGTGATCCTAAATACCTGGGCCTTGAAAGAGGGGCAGAGGGGACAGGCACTGGGCTTCCCCATTTTCTCCTACTAAGTAGAAAGAACAGAACTGCCCTGGCCTGGTTGTTACAAGTTTAGTGAGCAAGCAGGTGCTGCTTCTGGGGTGCTCTTAACTCCTGGGACACAGCCCCATCAGCTCCCCAGGCAAGGGGATCTCCTCCCACTGTTTCAGGGAGACCACACCTTCCACGGGACCAGCACCAGTGTGTGCAGAAAGCATTTTACCTTCCAGCTTCCAAGAGGACATGAGTGGCAGGTGAAGAATTGATGCACAGAATTAAAGCTGCAAAATGAATTTGACATTTTACGTCCTAAAATGAGCATTGCGTCTCATTCTGCCATTCCCTCTGTACTTTGATCCTGCGTGTTTGTCTGAGAATATGGCCTCCATACAGTCGGGAAGTGGTTCCAGGACCCCCCCATCTGCACAGGCTCAGTCAGCCCTGCCAAGCACAAAAATATTGTGTTTTCCATTCATGTTGGTTTGAGAAAGATCCATGTGTAAGTGGGTCCAAACCTGAATTGTTCAAGGGTAATTTTTTGTTGTGCATTTTCCTGCACTTAGAACCCATAAGTTATGTGGGGAAATCTTGCTTAGGCTATCTTGAGGCCAAGGGACAAATGGGGTGGTGTTTTTCCTTCTGTGTGAGTAAGAAAAAGGTAGAGGTGAATAGTCCAGGGAACCGCAAAGATCTAGTCACAAAAACAAGTTAGAGCACTGAGCAGTGGATCTAAAGCTACTCTGGGCTCCCGATGATGGGAGCCTCGGCTGTCTGGGATTTCAGCGGGAGTCAGGTTTCGATGGAGTGTTCATTCTCTTTTGCTGCTGTAAAAACTACCACGAATGTAATAAAGCAATATGAATTTGTTCTTTTATAGTTCTGGAGGGCAGAAGTATGAAGTTAGTTTCACTGAACTAAAGTCATGTCGTCAGGCAGGCCAGGTTCCTCCTGGAGGCTCTAAGAGAATCATTTCCTTGACTTTTCCACCTTCCAGAGGCTGCTGGCACCCTTTGGCTTGTGACCCCTTCCTCCCACTACTCCAAACGCTTGCTTCCACCCTCACAGTCCCTACTTCTTACTTTGACTCTCTTGTCTGGTCATCACGTTGCCTACACTCCCCAACCCAGGATATTCCAGGTTAATGTCTCCAGCTAAAGATTCTTAATCACACCAGCAAAGCCTCTTTTACCACAGTAACATTTTCACAGGCCCCGGGGATTCAGATGTGGCTATTTGGGGGTCTGCTATTCAACCCACTAAAGATAGGTAACCTGACGTTCAGGTGATTCATGAACCCTCCTGGGGGCCAGGCACTGGCTAAGGCTGAGGGAATGCCATGCTCAAACAACTTGATGGAGATGATGGGATCGTGCACAAGCGTTCTGGAGGCAGGTTGCATGGAACTAGCAGCTCCCCAAATGGAGGTGGGGAGGAAGGTGTGAGGATTGTCACAGGCAGTGTCTGTGAGCTGGACCTGGACGTACAGGAGGATTTCAATCAGCAGAGTATGGGGTGCATCATCACATGACCATCACATGACCACGTTCATCTCCCTCTGGGATTCTGCAGCACAGAGTCCATGAGGAAAGGCAGAAGGAAAGGCAAAGGCATTTTAGGCCCAGATCACAGGGACCTTGAAGAACCGGTGAAAGGGCGCAGATGTGATTCCCTGGAAGGAAGTGGGACCTGTTTTCCCATGACCACTATTTGCAGAGAATGCCCTGCAGGAGGCAGGGTGGACAACACTGGGTGCCCATCTGCTGTCATCTGACAAACTTTGCCTTATCTGGACTACCCTAGAAAGGAGGGCACAAGGCCACCTCCAGCATCTCCTTCCATGAGATGGAGAGGGCGCCTTTACAGTGAGAGAGGCTGGGTGTGAATCCCACATACCAGCAGTGTGACCTGAGATAAGCTACTGAACCTCTCTGACCTCAGTTCTCCCGCTTAGGAAATAGACATCAAGACCTGTCAGCCGGGCGCGGTGGCTCAAACCTGTAATCCCAGCACTTTGGGAGGCTGAGACGGGCAGATCACGAGGTCAGGAGAGCGAGACCATCCTGGCTAACACGGTGAAACCCCGTCTCTACTAAAAAATACAAAAAACTAGCCAGGCAAGGTGGCGGGCGCCTGTAATCCCAGCTACTCGGGAGGCTGAGGCAGGAGGATGGCGTAAACCCAGGAAGCAGAGCTTGCAGTGAGCTGAGATCCGGCCACTGCACTCCAGCCTGGGCGACAGAGTGAGACTCCGTCTCAAAAAAAAAAAAAAAAAAAAAAAAAAAAAGACCTGTCTACCTTCCTCACAGGGCCGGATGTGCTAAAGTAGGTGGAGGAATTCCAGAAGTAAACAAGTCGTGCTTCATGTTAGTTTCAGTGCTATTGGGAAGAGTCCTTTGAACCAGGAAATCATGGAATTTTATATATTAAAGATCACCTAACCTGGAGAGTACTGCATCAGAATCAGTTGAGTTCGATTTGCAGCCAGAGTTGGAAAGGCCGCACCCCCATGTGAGGCTCAGAGAGGCTGGGGGACTTAGCCAAGTGGGGTCCTAGTTCATCTTCCCCCCACTGCCCCGAGCACTGAGATGGGTTTAGCACCAGCTATGACTGAAATAGAGCTAGAAAACAAGGCAGAGGGTAAAGCAGGCACACGTGGGGTGTTGACCCAGGTGAGCCCTACCTGCTCATCTCCACAGGGGCCAGAGGCTCCCCATCTGACACCAGCCAAGAGCTGAGTAGCAGGAGGCACCAGCCAGGCTCTTGTGAGGTGGTTCCCAGGCAAAGCCCTCCATTTGGTCAGGGAGGCTAAGCCAGGCCAGCCTTCTCCTTCCTGTGGTCTGAATCTCTGGGGCCTGCAAAGATGTGAGTGGTCACAGGTTAATTCATTATCAAAATGTATTGTTCTTAATCCAGAAACTAATAACTGTGTATGCTCATTATAAACTGCCCCCGTCCCTTCCCCCTCTGGATAAAATTAATTATCTAACAATTTCAGACTAGAGCAAACCTTCACAATCTAATAGAAATCCCTCCTTTGATAGAGGAGGGGACAGGGACCACACAGAGAAGGGACATGGTCAGCTTCACACAGCAAGGCAGGAGAAGCCAAGTCCAGATCTGAGGCCCAGGCTTGCATGATGGTATTCTTTGCATTCCAGAACAGAAAGTGCTGCATCTTTCTAGAATCTTCTCAATGTCACTCCAGTGGTCGAACCTGGGGTCAAGAACATGGGGGACATGCACTAGACCAGATCCACCTCTTGGTACCCCAAATTTGACCTTGAGGGTGGAGCTGTCTGTACAGGTGAGACTCCACCTGGAGGCCATCCACTTGGCACACTAAAGTCATAGGTTTGAGGACCCCCGAGGGGGAATGTCGTGGAGGGAACATGGACCACTCTGCTGCTCACCATCCTAGAAAGTAAGATACCCCAGCAGGCCATGGATGAGCATAAGGGGTTTTGACCCCTCTCACCTGCTGGTGTTTGCCCTGGGTGTGGCCAGATGGAGATGCAGATGGCTCAGTCAGGCCTTGGGATGTGAATGGCAGGGCGGGATAATGCTGTCCCTACAGCCTGCCCACGGGACCAACCCATCAGGCCAGCTGGTGCCTGGGACCATGCAAACTCACCATGGTTGTGTGTCTGTGTGCTCTCCAGGAACATCCCCAGGCTCCAAGATGGCCCTGCAGAGCTCCTTCACTTGTTGGAATGGGACAGTCCTCCAGCTTGGGCAGGCCTGTGACTTCCACCAGGACTGCGCCCAGGGAGAAGACGAGAGCCAGATATGCCGTGAGTAGATGGGGCTACCCCACCCTGCCCCAGCCCAGACCATGCTCATAACCCCCTATTGTCCCCATTACCCCCGGCATGAGAGCATGGACAGCCTTCCCGATATCCAATGACACTTGTGACTCCTCTCATGACAAAGCCACACAGTCTTCAAGAGGCAAAGCTAAGATTTGTGGTCTAGAAATAACCTGGTCCATAGTCATGTAAGTCAAGAACCAAACAAAATCTTATAAGTTATGCTGTCAGCATCCTTAAGGCACAGAGAAAACGTGCAGGATAAAGCCCAGCTCTAATGTGACATTGGAAGTCCTCCATGCCCAGACTTCCCTCCCCTTCCAAGCCTCATTCCCCACCTGCCCTCATCCTCTCCCTCCTCCATGCACCCCAGCTCCGGCCATATGGAACCACCTTCCAGATCCTTCATGCCTCCATGGCTTTGTTCACATGGTCTCCCCTTTCCTTTCTCGAGTCACATCTACTTCAAGACTCACCCTGAGCCGATTCTTTCAGAAAGCCTCCCTGACCGTCCCCCACAAGTACCATTGGTTCTTCTCCCTCTGAACCCTTCCCCCACAATCCAGTAGATCCATCCAAACATCATCACTGCCATTACTATTCATGAATAGCTTTGAGATACAATTCATATACAATTCGCCCACTTCAAGTGTACAATTCCCTGTTTTCCATGTAGTCACAGGGTTGTTCAACCATCATCACAATTTTATTTTAGAACATTTTTATCACCCCAAAAAGAAACCCATAGTATCTCTCCCCATTTTGCTCCAACCCCCCTGCCATTGGCCTGAACCAACCACCAATCTTTATTTCTATAGATTTGCCTATTCTGGGCATTTAGCAGCCTACGAGGGGCCTACTTTCTCCATATCTTTGCCAACATGTCATATTATCTGTCTTTTTAGTTTTAGCCATCCTAGTGGGCATGCATCCATTATGTGTTATGGAGGTGATTTCCGTGTCTCTCTTCCTCTCTGTGGCTGGTTTGAGTCTGGTCATCTTTGCTGTAGCAATACCTCTCATGATTCCTGGCACAGCGTTGGTGCTCACTGACTCTTTGTTGATGAGAGGAAAGAATGAGTTGGGAAACTTGGACTCCATAGGGGAAAACAAACTGCCGAGGCCCCACTGGCAGTCGGGGCGGAGCAGACTCCCAACTGGTGCTCCTGCATTGAACATGGTGCTCCCCGCAGCTGCCTCTCCAGAAGTAATCACTCCAGAGCCCTTGATGTTTTTGCCAGGAAACAACCAACACTTGCAGAATACCTACAGGGAGCTGGAAAACGTGCCAGATCCCGAAGCAGAGATGAATAACTTGGCATCTTCCCTCAAAGCACTGAAAGCTCCACACAGGGACGGAGAGTGAAATCAAGACAGGACTGGGGAAGGATGAGGCAGAATGGTGCCTGGGGTGGGGCCCAGAACCGGAGCAAATGCCTCACCTCCCAGATATGCAGACCCCACTGGCCTGCAAGAAAGTTTCCAAAATACCTTTTAAAATAGGGCCGTGTGTCCCTAGTCATCTGGACCCTTTGTGGGGGTGGAGAAGGTTTCATTTATTCTAATTTAAATTAAGCAATAAAGACATCCATTTTCCCATTTTTAAAACTTCATTTTTATACAAAACTTTCAAGTGAAGTTTTCCAATTATAATGGAATAGTTGTATGTTTTTAGATAAAACTCAGCAAAGAGTTACAGGCAAGGGCTTTGCTTGCCCTGTTCTGTTCCGCTCCTGGCCTTTCTCATAGAGTTCTCACTACACATATGGCCCAAAGTGAAGCCAGCCCTGCCCACAATGCCCTGTTCAGGCGCCTGTGTGTGTCTATTTATTTGTGTCTGCAATGTTTCCAGCAGTGCCTCTGAACTGTGTGATTTCATGATTACCTTTTTCAAGTTTTTTGATAGCCACCTCCCAGCTGGGACACAGGTCAGGCAGGCCATGCCCTGATTGACAATTGGGAAAATGAAGGCACGGATAAGGCAATGGACTTGTTCAGGGTCACACAGCATGTCAGGGACAGATTAGAGCCCTGAGTCTTCAGGATCCAGCCCATTACTGAGGGCTCAGGGCGTTTCCCACCACTCCAAAGCTTACCATTATTGGTTTCCTGGCCAGCTCCAAGCTTCAGGGCAGTCTGCTTCAGGCACTGAGGGCAAGAACCTGGGGCCCAGAGGCTTTTTCAGCCACATTTGAAAAGCGGCTCTGACAAGCTGTCAGAGTAACCCCTCCACCCTGGAGAACACCCCCACTGTGTTCTTGGCTACAGAAAGCAGCTGCTGGGAGGGAAGTTCAACTCAGGAGAGTTATTCCCACTCAGATCTTGGCAGAAATTTTAGAAAATATCCTTTTTCTTATTTTTGTGCCTTATCCTCTCTGGCATTTTTGCTGTGTTCCTCATCACACTAATGTTGACTCTGAAAACCATTCCTATGAAGATAACAACAGCAACACCACCAGCTTACCTGTTGAGGCTTTACTCTATGAGTCAGGAGCTGTTCTCAGTACTTTTCAGGTATGAATTTGCTTCATCCTCACAGCCTCCTGTGTGATGCTATTGTACCCGTCTTTGTTAGAGACAAGGAAGCTGAAGCTCGCAGAGGTGGTTGTCCATGATCAAACTGATAGCCAGCTGAGCAGTGATTCAGGCTCAGTCTGACTTCAGAGCCACATTCTGAACCATGCAGGGTAAACTCTGTTTCACGAGCTTCCAGCACTTAGCTATGCTAAGCACTGAACCTAGCCACAGACACACCCAGGATGAAGGTGCCAGGAAGAGACAGGGAGGTCCAGGGCTCTGCTACCGCCTTTCTCTGGGGGTAGAAGGGTTCAGATCATGGGCCTCCCCCTCTGGGTCTCGGGTTCCTCATCTGTAACGTGATGCCCACTGACACTCTGTTGTCTGAGAAACAAGTAGGAAGTGTTTGGAGCAGCTCCTGGCACAAAGTAAGTGCTTGCTAAATGTTAGCCAGTATTATTCATGTTATTGTTTTCTTCATGGGGATGGTTTCCAGAATCAACACCAATATCATAGGAAAATATTCTTGACTACACCAGCTCTTACCCAGGTGGTCTGGAACCTGTTAAAATGTTTCCTCTGAGCAGGTGTTCACACTGCAGCTCTGTTAGGGATGGCCAGGTCCTCTAAAGAACCTTCCTGAGGGTCTTTCATCTTGGGCCAGGGTAGTTGACCAAACCCTGCCATGGTTGGAATTTGGAGGGGGAAAGTAGGTTATATTTAATCAACACCCCCTACCAAAGGGCCAGCCTCAACTCACCACACCTTCCCAGAGGGAGTCTCCTGCACAGGCTGGGGCTGCAAACAGATGACCAGACTCAATCTGGGCAATGGAACTGGATCTCTCTGGAGCCCTTAAAAATTCTAAGAGTTGTCCAAGATGAGTGGAGGGCCTGAGATGGAGGGGACATTCCCTTGCCCTTTTCTAGCCAATCATGATACTCATCTGTCCATTGTACTCTCTCTTCCAAACCCACAACCCAACACAGTACTCTTGGTCCTCTCTCCAACACAGCCACTCCTGCATTTCTAATTAAACATGGCCAAATCCAAGTGAGAGATCCCAGATGCTGTAATGCACTGAAGGGGGTCTTCGTGACTCTCTGTGTGTTCTAGCCAATGGCCTTGATGGCATGTGGCGCCCCAGAAAGGGGCCAGGTGTCCCCACTTCATTCCCTGGATGGGTCAGTGATTCACTGAGTATTGCAGACAGATCACTTTTTCCCCATGGACTCGATAATCTCATGTGCTGGGGATACTCTTCCTGCCAGGCAAAAACAGTGTTTTCAAAGTGTATTTCTTTATTGTAAGACAAAACATACTGGTTGTAAAATGCACAAAATCTAGAAATGTACACAAGAGAAAATAACTATCGCCCATAATCCTCCCTCTCAAACATTCAGAGATAACTATAATATTTTGATGTATTACTTCTAGCATTTTTTCCCATGACTGTATATTTTCAAGAAAATGTATAGCACATATTTATCAAAAATGTTAACAGAGTTGTCACGCAGGAAGGAAAAGAAGTAGTGTCATTTGGCCTGGAGTTTATACTTGGCAGCTCCCACAGCTGCTGCTGAGGTCACAGCTCCATGACTCTACCAATTTGTCTCTCTTAGAGTGGAATCAGGTGTCATAATTGCCAAATGTTGCGGGATTGATTGACCTACCCACAGCGCTATTTGGCCATGCAGCCAATGAAATAACTGGCTACAGCCCAAGAAAGGGGTTGGTTAGAACAGTGCTTCTCCAAATTTGAGGTGCACAGGAGTCACTAAGGGAGCCTCTTAAAAATGCAGATTCTGATTCAGTGGGTTGGGGCAAGGCCTGAGATTCCACGCATTTTACAGATTCATAGGTGATGAGGCTGCAGCTGGTCCCTGGACCACATTTTGAGTGGCAGAGAGTTAGAGGATTGAGCCCACTCCCATTTTGTTCAGCAGATAAGTTTTGAAGTCCTCCAGTGCGCTGACTGAGTAGGAGCTTGGGGTGGATGGGAAGAGAAAAGGATGATTAGAGGATGAGTTGATACCATTAGAGCCAACCCTGTGGGCCAACCTTTTGCTCAGCAATTGCCCTTAGTAGTGATTTCCCAGTTGCAGCCTAATCCACAGGGGTCTTTGTTCCGACTCTTAACCTTAACCCCACCAGCTTCCTCAGGAGTGGCTTCTGGCTGAGTACACTGCCCTGATGAGTTTACAATCATGGAAATCCTCGGCTCTCCTTCCTCCCTTAGGGGTTTTAATGGCCACATCAATTGTCCACTGGCCTGTCTTGCTCTTTTGCCTGCCTCCTCTGCCTTTATTGAGTCAGCCAGAAAGAAAAGGGGTTTCCACGACCAGCTCACCCTGGATTCTATGTGAAGCTGAAACAAGAATGGGATTCCAGAGACAGAGAATGCTGGTGACTTTCTTCAATCCTGTCCGGCCGAAAGGCATAGGCAGAGCTATCACATATGCAGCCTTCAACAGGCATTTCCAGAGAGCCAGCCAGGGACTTGCTGTCAGTTTCAGCCATACTTTGATGAGCTAGCTCCAAGTTAGGTATGAATGGCAATTAATAACACTACCACCACTTTACATTTGCACCTCTCTAGCTGTTTACAAAGTGTTTCCACAGTGTCTCCCCTACTTTATCCTCAAACCAGCTCAGTAAAATAGACACTAATATTGCCCCATTTTACAGATAAGGAACCTGAGGCTCTAAGGAAGAAGTGACTTACGTAAGGTCACAAAGCAGAAAGTGGTGAGGCTAGAACTAGAGCCCATATGTCCAGATTCCAGTGCTGTTGTGGTACCAATACCCATGATCCAGGCTCAGTTCTCTCCCTCTGCCTCCTAAAACGGTAAGGAGGGAGTGATGTACTGTGCGTCTCCCACCTCAGGCCGGCCTCCTCCTTCCTCCAGGAATCCTTCGCCCACTGGAATCTTCCATTGTGGGCCTTGGGGTATTTTGTTTGTTTGTTTGTTTTTGCTTATTTTTTTGTTTGTTTTAGATGGAGTTTTGCTCTTGTCCCCCAGGCTGGAGTGCAGTGGTGCAATCTCGGCTCACTGCAACCTCCACCTCCTGGGTTCAAGTGATTCTCCTGCCTCAGCCTCCTAAGTAGCTGGGATTACAGGCGCCCATGACCATGCCCGGCTAATTTCTGTATTTTTAGTCAAGACAGGGTTTCCCCATGTTGGCCAGGCTGTTCTCAAACTCCTGACCTCAGGTTATCCACCCGCCTCAGCCTCCCAAAGTGCTGGGATTATAGGTGTGAGCCACAAGGCCCTGTCGGGCCTTGGTTTTTAAAACTCACTTGTGAAGGACACTCCATGAGAAGGTCACTTCCACCAGTTGGTTTCTGCAAAAGAAGTAGATGTGGGATCCCTTGCGGGGGGAATAAAAAATAAAACAGAAAGTTCTTCTTAGCTTTGGGATTTTTAATCAGAGAAACATGTGGGGCTTGGGGGGAAATGATTCCTTCAGGGGGGTATAAACGGGAAGAGATGCTCAAAGTCAGTGACAGCCTGCTTTAATTTATAATTCTGCCTCTGTGTGAAATGCACAGAGAATCGGGGGGAAATGAGTAATAATTCACTAAGGTGCTGTCACAGCCAGGAAGCGTTAGGGCCTCCTTTGTCAGCCTGCTGCTGCCAAGAAGACTGAGACAGAGGAAGGACATGCAGTGCTGTGGGTCTCAGCTAAAGAGCTTCTTTCCTCCCACGTGGAGACACAGGCTTCTCCACAGCTAGGCTGGGAGGTATTGGGGGCCATCAGAATCGCCTGGAATAGCCCACTAGCTCCTCAGGGCTGAGCGCCTTTCCTGGAGCCATGCTCAGAGTGAGCTGGAGAAAGTGAGCTCTCTCTCTCACCCTCTTATCCTTTCCTCTTCCTTCTGTGGGCAGTTGGGAAATACACAGTCTAGAAAGCTGACTGTGGCCTCTTCAGTGGGACCTGAGATCAGTCTGATGTAGAGAAAAAGATGACGTGCCCCTTGTGCTGAGCCCACAGATGATATAAAGAGGCCCCAATGACAGGGATTGTTTGATCAGGCAGGATAGGCTAGATTATGCTGCAGTAATAAACCCCATATTTCAGTGGCTTGGGATAACATTTACAGTACCCATCCAATAAGAGTGGGAGTGGGAGGGGCCTCTGCTCCACAGGATCACTCAGGGACCCAGGCTGGCAGAGGCTCTTCCATCAATATAGTGTCACCCTTAGGAACAAGAACTCTCATTGGTTGTTTCAGCAAAGGAACAGACAGACCAGAGATTTACACGAGGGCTTTTCGCAGCCTTAATTCAAAGAAGACACATCACTTCCACTCACGTTTCATTGGCCAGAGCACATGAGATGTCTTCACTTAACTGCAAGGGAAGGTTGGGAGATAAAGGAAAGCAAATGGAAAGTTTTGAGCAATATGTGTCTCTGCAGACAGGTAATTTGATGGACCCACACAAACCCCCAGTCAACACTACCACAAACACCACCACACTTGGGACATTGTGTCAACTGTTAGAAATGTAGTGAGCTACACAGTGGCTTCTCCTGGGGTCACACTCATGGTGGATCAGTATAAAGAGTGCAGAATGTAGAAGCAGAAGACCTGGGTTCAAGTCCTAACTGGGTTACCTGCTAGCTGTGTGACCTTGGTCAAGTTGCTTCACATTTCTGAGCCTCTGCTTTGTCAGATATGCAACTGGACTAACGATACCCATGCTGAGGAGTTCTTTTTCCTATTTTGCTTTCTGAAGATAAGAAAACTGTAAACCAGCACAGGCATCAGTTAGGGCTTGGGGGTTTCTCAGTGTCATTAGTCATCCAGCGTTCTGGCTGGGGAGCTATATTACTAATGAAGATAATTTGGTCATGCCTGGCTAATTCGACTTGGTGTTGGCATATTTTGCCTTTAGTGGCCCTGGAAATGACTGTGCCTCTCTGCTCTCTCCATAGGGAAACTCCCTGTGGGATTTTACTGCAACTTCGAAGATGGCTTCTGTGGCTGGACCCAAGGCACACTCTCACCTCACACTCCTCAGTGGCAGGTCAGGACTCTAAAGGATGCCCAGTTCCAGGACCACCAAGGTACTACCTCTCTCCTGCCTTCTCCCTGGCACCCATCTTCATGCCCACATAGACAGATGGGAGACTCAGGACTGGGCTTCACCCCACCTGTAGGGCAAGCTCGGGTGTCTGACCAAAGCTCGCGTAGAGCGCTCACACACAATTCCCTCTTCATACCTTGGGCTTTCGAATGATTAAATCTGGCCAAGATAGATGTCACCTTTGGTTACTTAAAATGAGAACCATGAGGAGGAACTAACAAAAAGATAATAGCAACAATGATAATAATCCTTTCCATCAACAAGTGTGTGTTGAGGGCCTCCTATGTGTCAGCCACATGATTCATTGAGAGATAGGGAAAGCCATAGCTCTCTTTATGACTGGGGAGACTGAGGCACAGCGAGGCCTTATGTCATTTGCCCCGGGGTTGTGCCCAGGGAACCTCACCCTACACCTGGTCCATGGTCCATTCCCTGCAGCACAGCCTCTACAACCATTCCCCCACCTCACCCCTGATTTAAGCTAGTAATGCCTGTCCTTCCCTCTCTGGGGCCCATCCTCCCCACAAACCCTGCATATCTGGCAGACAGCAAAGGGCCTCCACACAGCCAAGAGATAGCCAGTGCTCCTGGGTAAGCTGACTCTAGACTCAGAGACACCAGGCTGGGCAAGGTGTGGGATCACAGAGGGTCTACAAGGCCAACATAGCTCCCAACGTTAGGCTGCTGGAGAGGCCAGGCTAGCCAGCTTTGGGGGCTGTCCCTAGTGATGGGGCCCGGGCAGGCCCTGGTGCCCAACTCTGCAGCATAGGGGCTGATGGGGTGGGAATGTCTCTCTCCTTCTTCTGTCCTCTTCATTTGCCTTCTTTCTGTGGAACTAGAGACCCTCCAATGCTTATTTGTTGAACAAAGTAAGAGTTGGCTCAGTCCTCACCATGCAGCAGCATTATTCTTAGCGTTCTGTCTGTAAAAGACGCAGAGGAGAGAAATGGAGCTCCAAGCTGGATGTGCCCTTAATGTCTCTGTTCCCAGTTTGATAATTTCCATTATAGCACCCATAGCAAACAAACATCCAGCCCTGTGGAATACCTCCAATGACAGGGCTCCCACTGCCTCCAAGAGCAGCCCATGCTATTGTTCTCAATCACAGATTAGCTTTCCTTACCTAGAGGCAAGCTCCACCTCTCCGTGACTTCTACTCATTTATTATGACTTTTGCCCCCTGGAGCCCCACAGAACTGAACTACCCCCTGTCCCACCAAGGCAGGCCTTCAGAAATCTGAAGGCAACAGTTGTGACCCACCTGCCTGCCTGAGGGCTTTTCTGTTCCCAGTCACACAATGCCAGCTCCTTGAATCTCCCTCATCCTTGCTGAGATCTCTCGGTTACTCTGCCCTTGACCCACCTGAATATGTTACTTAACAGCCTTTACTGAGAAAGGCAGAAAGGTAGAAAGGAAAGACTAAAGTAATGCTTGAGGTTCTGAGGCCCCCTAAAGTGTTGTGAGCTCACAAAGGCATTCATGCCACAGCACTGACCACCTACAAAATGCTCTGCAGACCCCGAAAGTTTGCAGATGCTTCTTCCCATCACCACGTGGGGTTGGGAGCCCCTGTTCTCCCAGATTTTCAGGCAGAGCCATGCTTAGAAAATATAAGAAGTGAGTCTTCATGGGCAGGGGCACAGGACGACCTGGGTTCTAGACAGGGGAGAAGAGAGTGAAGGTCATAGAAACCACTGGAAGGGCACACATGACTGAAAATGGGGAGGGTGGAGCTGGGGAGGCTAGTGTGCCTCAGGCTATTCCTGGGCCATGGGCTGAAGCTGGTGACCTTGGAAGATCAAGGATGTGGTAGCCCAGATGATGGTGCTGGGACCTCATGGGCAGTTTAGAATGAAATTGTTGACAGGTGGGCTTTCTTCTCCATTGTAGGACAAAAACCTGTTTCCTCAAAGATATCCCTAGGCTAGATAAGAACTGTGCACAGTCCAATAACCCTGCACCCCTGATCCCCCAGTTCCTGATAATGGTGTGCTTGTGATTCTTTTCCTCTCTCCTAGACCATGCTCTATTGCTCAGTACCACTGATGCCCCCACTTCGGAAAGTGCTACAGTGACCAGTGCTACGTTTCCCGCACCAATCAAGAGCTCTCCATGTGAGGCAAGTCTCAGTGTTTCTCTAGTTCTCTAATTTCTCCCACCTCTTGTCACTTCCGGAACCCAGATTAAGAAAGTAGCCTAGCTGGCTGGGCTGGTCGTTCTCCTAGGGAGAGAAGAATAGGGCCATCTCTGCCATCTTCGAGGCAGAGATGTCCATCAACATGGTAAAGCCCTGTCTACAGAGAATCATGCCTTAAACAGCCATCCCCAGCTGCACTGAACTATTTGCAGTAGAACCATGATTTAATCAATCCCAGAAGAGATTTTCTGCGGCATAACAAGAGAGAGTGACAAGGATTACAAGACTTTCCACAGAATCCCTTTTAAAAATATTGAGCTCTTATAATACATTGTAAATACTATACATCCTCAAAATTTGATTTACATAAATTTCACTAAGACATCAATGGCATTCAGTGAGGTACCTCCAAAGCCACTCTCTGAAATGGTTCCTGACGCTGTTTTCTCATTGGTTTGTGGGTGGAGGGACTGGTGCCGTGTTCCTCAGCATATTCTTTAGGGGCCAAGAAATGTACTTAAGACTCCAACGTTGCACAGTGATTAAGCTCATGGACTCTAGAATCAACTTTCTGAGTCCAAGTCAGGTTCCACCACTGATTGATTGTACAGTTTGTTTGGGCAGTTAATTAACCTCTTGGGGCTTCAGTTTCCTCACTGGGAAAGTGAACACACATAATGCCTACCCCGAAGAGGGAAGATTAAATAGATAATGTCCAAAGGGCTTGGAAGAGCATCAGGCACAAAGTAAGCACTGCAGTCTTTAGCCCACAGGGTGCCTGGCACCCTGTGTAAACATTCAGAAGGACACTGGGGGAAGAGGAAGAGAACTTGAGCCAGAAATCAGACTCTAAGCTCCGAGAGAGCAGGCCATGTCTTGTGCTTCTTTGTACTCCCTCACTGCACCTGCATCAACATCTTGCACGTAGTAGAAAACCTGCATGTAGTTTAGATTTGGCCAGTCATCTCGTTCTGGATACTCACAGGAGAAATTCCTGTCTGGCTCAGTTTCAGGAATAGCTATGCACCCTCTGAGCAATTTGTTTCCTGTCAAGTTGTGGACATTGTGAAACTGACCAGATTAACTTCTCCTTCTGTGGCTCATAGAAATCCCAGGGAGGTGGTTCTGTGACCAGCAGAGGGACAGACAACAGGATTGCCCCTGCTGAGGGATGCAGACAGATTCAAGCCCCTTGAGTTTCTCATAAAATAAAAACTCACAGACAGAAAACAAACAAGAATGGAAAAGATGTAGAAATGATTTTTTAATACGAGGAGTGGTTAAATTAAAACCAAGGCTCCACTTGGCAAGCAAATGGGACTTTGTGATATGCAATTTGTAGCAGCTTACTCCTGGTTTGATTTTATAACTCGACGTTCACCACTTCCTTCTCACCCTCTTCTAGGCTATGCTATCCTACTAGATTTTATGTATGTCTGTGAACCACCTTAAATCCTTTTTGGAAGAATTCTGAGCACAAATAGATTCATTATATTAAGTTGTATTTGAGAAACCATGCTATCTCATGCAGATGGTGGAATTACACAGTCATTGCTGATATTTCTCAGGTGTCTGAGAGCAGGTACCTAGAAAGGAAGGCTTTTTAGGAGAACATATAAATGAGGACAGATGGTTGGCCCACCGGAGAGGACAGGAGGATCTTTAAGAGCATTTGGTCTTTAAATTTACTCTTTACTGGGTTTAATATGAGCCAAATTTCAGAAAAAGAAATGTCAAGGTACAAATGATATTATTCTAATACTTCATCATTTCTCTAATAACCTTTGAGTTGATCAATAGCTTAAACAGGTGTTTTGTTTTACTGGCCTGTTTTATTTATCCTGCAGTCTAATTTGCTCTGGGCTGTTTCTGCTATTTCCTGCCCTTTTCCAGAACTTGGCTCAGCAGGCATAATGAAGGGAAGGGAAATAAGTCCATTCCACACTCACATTATTTATATTTATATACATTCATATGATTTCACATTCAGGTTTTCAGACCATTTGTCTAATACTGATAGGTCTTTGAATTCCCAATGTTGGGAGAAATGTTTTTATCAGGAAAATAAATAACCAAAATAGAAATATGCATTTCTAGATTTGTAAGCCCTACCATTTATTTTATGTGAATCCTAAATGCAGAATGCAGGAAGTTGATTTCCTCCTCCCAGGCAGGCTAAACCCCAGTGGCAGAAAAAAATGGATATTGCATTTCTCTGGGAGACTATGTGAGGTTCACCCAGGGCTTTCAAACCCCACCAGCCCTACAGGGGCCTCTGTTGCCTATGGGGCCCAAGTGCAGAAAGGTGGACACTAGACAGAGTTTTGGGGACAGGTCTCTGATGAGCATCAGGCCTACAGGGACTGGTGATGGGTCCAGCTGAGTTCTGGGGTTGATGCCTACCACGAAGGACTTTCTCCAAACCCAGCTCAGTTCTGGTCTCCGGAAAGTTAAAGTAATTGTAGACTATCTCAAGAAACACCACCATCGTCAGTGGATTCCCAGAGAAGAACTGGTGTAATCTTCAAGAATTTCCTGCAACATGAGAAGTGAGTTAACCAGTAGTTCTATGTTTTACCAATCACATTCACCTGGAAAATGTAACAGATGCCCCACCCTGGACCTACTGAATGACAGCGCTAAGTGTGGGGCCCAGGGCTCTGCATTTTTAAACCCCATCCTCAGTGATTTGGAGGCACGCTGAGACTTCAGAGCTATTGGCCATAGGTGTGCTTGCCAGTTGTGACTGAAATTCATTCTGAGCCCATGCAGAGAGTTTTCCTCACCTGCCTGTGGCCCCAGAAAGCGTGATGTCACTTGTCTTTTAGAAAGATGAGTCGGAAAAGGGATGAGAAATGATGGAGGCAGGGGTGAAGAGAAGCGGGTGGGAGAGCATATGAAACCAGGTCAAGGGTCCCCCACGATAGAGGCATAGCCACAGTGTGCCTTTGTGCCAATCCAACTTCCAGAGCATTCCAGAAGCCTACCCCACTCCCACCTCCTCCCTCCAGGTTCCTGCAGCCTGCTCTTGCTGACTACCACGGCCGCCTCCTATCTCTCTGCACAGTTACACGTGGGGCATGAATATTTAAAGACCTCTGCCTCGCCCAGCCACAAACAAGAGAGAACGTTGTGGTTTTGGTTTTCTTTTTGTGTTCCTCCTCTCTGCCACAAGCTCTTCTCTGCAGGAAACTGGGGAGCCACTTACAATATACTCTGATTTTATTTTTATTTTTATTTTTCTGAGCTCCAGTTCAAATAATTAAAGTTGCCACCGGGGAAGGAGGGCTTGCAATGGCTTTCATGTGCACACTTGCTGTCAGACCTGCTCGAATCCGCCTCGGCTTTGAGACACCCGCGGATGTGTCTGGCATTGCAGCCGCTGGTAATAAAGAGCACGGCAGAGTGGCGGCTGACACCACCCCAGCCCCCTGCCTTTCACACACCCGAGCAGCCTGAATGTCTCAACAAGCCCCGTGTGGTTTGAAATTCTATTTTATTTGAATAGCCTGCCTGTGACTGGAATAATTTAAACCATGTTCTCAGGCCAGAACAAGGCCTACAGGGAGAAAAAGTGGACTTTCCTCATTTTCTTTCCCCTCCAAGGCATGAAAGCAGTTTTTCTTGTGTGAGCTGCCGAAGTGCAATTTGATCCAAAAGTGAGATGGGATCCCCCAGTTTGTGGTGATCAGTTCCTCAAAGATGGTTTTCCTGCCTGGCCAGAGCTGCAGTTGCTTCTCCCCTCTTCTCGCACGTACATATATACACGCAAACACACACACACATACACACATGCGTGCACACACCCATGGGGATCTTGGGACACAGCTGAACCTTTCCACCCCTGACGTCACCTCTAGCAATAAAAAGAATCAGGTTGGATTAGCTGTGGAGAGCTGCTGTGATCTAGGCAGAAAGTGACCAGCAGGCCCCTTACACATCTACATGGGCCTGGAGAAAAGGGGACCCATCCTTTGTGTCATTAAAACCAGCAAATGTAGCCCAGAGAGATGTGAGGGAGAAGACGCCATGGCCCCCGGAGTTGCCCTTGGCCATCCGTCCCCGAAGCCCTTCTCAAAGGGAGGGAATTTTTCTATAAATTGCTATCTGGTTGATTTTATAAGACATTTCAGGGTGCTCGTGATCATCCCTGGAAACAGGCTCATCCTTCCCTCCAGCCTCTCAGCATGACACAGAAGCAGGGAAGCTGAGAGGCAGGTGTTGATTGGGCTTATTGAAGCTTGCCCCTGACCTCAGCGGCAGGCAAATAGGACTCTCAAGATGGGAAAAAGAGAGGATCTTTTCTGACTGCTGTGTGTTCAAAGTTTATTAAACTCAGTGGCAAATTCTTCTGTGGAAAGTCAAGAAAAGGAGGATAAGAGTAAGAAAACTTAGCATCAGATGGCATGAGATCGAGGAAAAACAAAAGCAGAAGGGGACCTTCCTTTATCAGCCCCCACCAAACTCTCGACAGGGCAGGAGCCAAGGAGGATGAGCAGAACTGTTGAATTCAGCTCATTTTCCAGAGCAGATCCTACGCATCAGGGGCTGCCCGTCCAGATCATGAAATTTACCCCAAGACCCACAGCTAATAAACACAAGACCACACCCAGATCTTATGATTCTGAGCTTCATGCTCTTCCTGTCACACTGCCCTGCTGCGGACAGATGGAACCTTCTCAGCTTGGGGAGAGTTGAGGAGAGCCTCAAAAGCATCAGAACTGGCATTTCCCGCACCTAACTCAGAGCCTCACTACCACGTCTCTGCAGGCAGGTAGGGAATCCCACCCCATTGTGTAACCAAAGAGCTCTCCGCTTCGTCTCTCCACAGGCTGGGAGTAGTCACTGGGTCTAACTCCTGAGCCACCAAGGGGACACTGCCACTCACCTACAGGACTCAAATGGAGTTTGTTCATTGGGTGGGCCCCGTTCTCAGCCCCATGTGATCCAACTTACTTTAGCAAATCAGGAAGCAGAAGCCA